TTTAACGTTCTCGATAGCGTAAAAGTTAGCTGATATTTGTATGGAATGGGATCGTTCGCGTACGTTTGCCGCTAGGGGCGCTGTTCCGACTGCATACAAAATTGGGTTAACTTTTACGCCATCGAGAACGTTAAGAAACTCGCACTAAGCACATAGATACTTACTAACTCCTTTCGGCCGCGAATAAAAAAAGTACGAACCGACAATTACACTTTCTAGTTCACAATAATATTAAAATGATGACTGTGAACAAATTTAAATGCACATTATTGTTATAATCTAAGACATATTTAACGCAGCCCTACCGTCGAGATGGACAGGCGGCCGCATAGCTCCACCTCGCGGTCAGCGTTGCGGTCTTCGATGATTACATATCTTGTACAGTTTTAAGTATCGATCATCTCGCTTCAGACCCTAGCCAGTATTTTACTGTCCAATAGCTTGTTATAATAGCTATACATGTATGGAGAATAAGAAAATCAATATTTTGTCGTGTAACTTCATTAATTATTACGCTTTTATTAGCTTCAGACGCATGTAACGTAATCTTTGAACATGATTTTTACGCCCCCAAAACGTCGGATTAACTCGAAATTTGGTATACTTATTGGATACCGATGACAATTCAATAATTAAAAAAAATTAATTAAAAATTGAAATTCAAGTAACAAATGAAGAATAAATAATAAATAAACTAACAAAATACGTTTTTATAGAAAATCCAACTAAAAAATAGAAATCAAATTTTAATAAATTTGAATTAAAAATATTGTAAGAAAAAATGATTTCATTGTAAAAAAAGCGTAGGGTGCATCAGTAGTTATAAATATTTTAAGAACAGATATGAGTTGAAGGTTTATTTTGATAATATCTTGAAAAACACCCCACGCTTTTTTACAATAAAATCATTTTTTCTTACACTATTTTTAATTCAGATTTATTAAAATTTATTTTCTATTTTTTAGTTGGATTTTTTGTAAAAGCGTATTTTGTTAGTTTTTTTAAACTATTATTTATTTTTTTCGTTAACAAATTTTATGACTCGTGAGTGTTTTTAAGATGTTTGTTAGAGTATCTATACAATATGCGAGAAATAGTTTCACGATTACAAATAAGCGAGAACGAGGCTTGAAATGATTTTTTTTTTAACTCGACTTACTTTGGTTCATCTACAATTGCTATATTCATACCATACCCTTTGTCTACACCAACGCGATTATGAGAGTTATTTGAACGGTTATTTATAGCATAAAGCTGGATTTTTCAACTTTTCATCCATATGAGATGACTATCCTTACCTCTACCTTCCATAGTATTTCCTGTAATTTTTTATAAGTGGCAATTTTTTTTTTATTGTACGTTGAAAAGTTTCTAGTTATAAAATATTGGAGATTTGATTATGATTCTTCCACCGTAAACCTTAGTATTTGTTACTAATTTAAACTTGAGACATCTACCCGCTTCTGGAAAAGGTCTTCAATGCGGAACAGACAAACAAGCAGACCGATAATAATGTATTAATCTAGTAGTTCTAGTAGGCAGCGGCTTGGCTCTGCTCCTGGCATTGCTGAAGTCCATGGGCAACGGTAACCACTTATCATCAGGTGGGCCGTACGCTCGTCTGCCTACAAAGGCAATAAAAAATAAAATAAAATGGTTTATCAATTGGAATGGTATAAAGTACCATAAACTATTGTACCAGGTTTCAACTCAATCGGATGAACCACGTGCACACATCACGAACAATTAAACGAACCAACATGTACTTGACGTGTTACATTGCGTGTATATTATTTAAGCAATAATTTAACAGTAAAATAACTTAAATGACCACTGAGTACCTACTTGCATAACAGTAATTACCGAAGGAAATCTGTTTCGTTACAACACTTGTTTTAAAAACTATAACTTTGTATCTCTCGTTGTTACGTTGTTAACAAATCGCAGTAATAACGCGAAGACAGTTATTTGCAAAGATAAGTTAGATTATATTATATTACATTAAATAGCGTTAATTTAACTGACATTTCTAGAACGTACCAATGAACGCAATAGAAATAAAATGCTTAAGCTATTTCAAAAATAATTAATGGATTTAGCAAGGTTTATTTTACATGGTTGTAACTTATTAATTAATTAACTAAAAAGGTAGTATATTGTTAAGATCTACCTTTTTCGGAGTATTTTTTGATGAGATCGCATACAATTTACATAGATATTCACTGCCAATAAATATAAAAATTAAGTAAACTGATAATTTTTAGATATATTTTTTGAGAGCTGTGCATTGCTTTTAAGCGTTGATCCATTTTAATCCGCAGCATTTTATTTTGAAATATTCAGATTATTCCTATACTGGAATAACAGCAGTTCTTCGTAGATTCATGTTCAACTTTGAACATTATAATACATTCTTCTAATCCGTGAAAGCAGTCTACACTTATCTAATAAGCCTTATAGAAACACTAACAATAAAACTGTTAACTGGAAACACCTCCCATTACGTACCTACAGAAACACACAGAATTGAATGGTCTCAGTGAATTGTATGCATCTAGGTTCCCATGCTGTTTGATTGAAACTATTTTACCTTAATTGTCTATTACAAGCTATTACAGCTGCACGTTTCTTATCGCGTCAGCCATTTGAAGAACTTGGGAACTTCTGAAGAAACTTTTTCGAATCATTGCACAAAGTTACATTGTAGCATATAAACCAGATGTAATCAATCGATTTCGTATTAGGTATTCATTCATTCATAAACATGAGTATCAATAAACATAATTAAGCTATACTTTCATCACATCACGTAATTTAAGTCGAGTAGTACGTACATATATTATATTTGCTTTGATTAAACGTAATAGATAATTTAATAGTTTAAAAACTGAGATCACAGAACTTATATCTCAAGGTAGATGGCGGCATTTAAGTTGTAGACCTCTATAGGCCCCGGTAACCACTTAACACCAGGTATAAAAAAAATAAGCGAATGAATAAATTTTTTTGTTGAGTTCGTATGGCTAAGTTGTTATCGGAAATCAGACACATACCACATTACGTCGAAACCTTCTTAAAATTTGAATAGCCCTTATCTAGATCAGACGCTTCGGAGAATTTGGTAGGGTGGTGGAAAAATAGGCAGGATAGTGGCCTCAATGCATGAAGGTTTTCAAGATAGCCCGCCACCAGTAGGAAATATTCAAGGCAGGAATTGCAAGAGGAGTAGAAGAGGAAGATAGATAGGAAGAAAGATTTGAGTAAATTCAATACTAGTGAGAAGTAGTTTTTAATTATTAATTTAAGTAGTTTATTTGCCACTAAATTGCTTTTTAGTAAAATAAATGTTGAAAGTGTACTTTAAATAGATAGTAATGAATACTAGATGTACCTATATTATTTTGAATTGAGTAAGTATTTAGTTTTAATTCTTACTGCTGAAGGAAAGAAACTTGCTAAACCACACCAAATATAACCCGATGACGTCACTCAGATAGATGCCATTGTGTCGTGACTGTGACATCCGCTTTGTGCTAAATCCTTATCTGAACATGAATTAAAACGAATTTGGACGAATATCATACATATATGTCTTCTGTCTGCCTATAATAATATGTCTTCTGAGCCTTGATATTTCAATGACACATAGAAGTTATTCTTAGAATAAAATATAACAAGTTAACGCTATACGAATCATATAAATCGACCAATTTCATTTCTAAACTCAACTAATAGGTTTTATTAGAATTATCTATATATTAATACGTGAAGCTAAAATTTGTACCCCTTTTTACGAAAATTGTGCGGACGGAGGAGTATGAAATTTCCCACACTTATAGAGAATATAGAGAAGGAATGCAGAATGTTAATATTTTTTTAAATTATGCATAAAAAGTCATTAAATCAAGCAATAAAAACATTACACACACTACCATGTATTTGACACACACACGCATGCATACTATTTGTTTATTGTCAAACTTTTCTTATTGCTTAAAGTCTGTGGTTAAATTGAGAATAGAGTAATATTGTTTGTCTTTATTAATATTTGTCTAAAATGTAGTCTTGGCGAAATCTGTGATTATAGAAGTATTTGACAACAGAATCATAATAATGTATAAACTTATAATTTTAACTAATTATGGTCGAATTTCGACCACTAGTTAGAATTACGGTACCAAAATAATATATAAGACTTTTCAATTTAAAGTTTTATATAGCAGATAATTTTATATCACAATTGGTGCCAAGGAAATGGGCGATCAAATCAAACTAAGACACAGAGGAGGTCACGTTCAAAACGATTCCTGAAATGTTTCTTGCCCTAACTAAACAGTATTTGGTTACGTCCACGCTTAAAAACAAGCAACCAAACAAGAATCTGTTACTGCATGCGATTTCATCCACAAATACCACCACCCGTCTTAATATACGAAGTCGAGAACTCAACAGCAATGCGAAAATACTGTGTTACCTGGAACCTAAGTCGTGGTACAAATAGCCTTGAAAGTTCAGAGTATGCCATGCGACAGTCAGTATTATTTTACGGTTTGAAATATATTACACGGTGTTCTTCCTACTTTGTGCAAATCGTGAATACGTATTAGTTACGTATTTACTTCGAAAAATCGATATCTGCCGTTTTGATCTCTCGTTAGGAATACAGTGAGCGTCTTAAACATGCTTGTAATAAGACGAAGAATATCTATCTATCTTATTCTTCTATATATTATTATATAAAAAACGGCTGGACCGATTTGGCTAATTGTGGTCTTGAATTATTTGTGGAAGTCCAGAGAAGGTTTAAAAGGTAGACAAATATGAAAATGCTCGGAATTAAACAAAAATAACAATTTTGTTTTTCCTTTAATGTGTCCCCCGTCGGACGGATTCCTTTTGTTTGTTTTAAGTTTATTTTATACAAAAGTTTAGGTTTTTTAAGGCACTACGAAGTCTGCCGGGTCAACTAGTCCATTAATAAATACATTTTTTTCGAACAGGGTCACTCTGAGTCGAAAGGTGCAAAGAAACGCGACAAAAGCGCCAGTGGCAATGGCAACAGTAAGCTCACTCGCGGCGTGGCGACTTCCTTCGGGTTCCGCCGACGGCCAGCGAGCACATCTCGCGCTGACGACAACGCGCGACGCAAGCAGAAACAACACGACAAGAACGGTAATGGAGGTTGGTTATGTTAATTTAGTTTTTTTTTTTTTACGAGAGTGTATCCCTAATTTTTTCTTCCTTTCCTCTGTAACGGTTGACTCTTCATACTATTTTTCATTGAATTGTGTTGAGCAATAAAAGGCTTTTTGTCATACCTAACAATGTTTTGCGTGAAACATTCCAAACTCCAATTGATTCAGCGCTTATTGAAATTAACATGCGTGCACTCATATTTTAACGAATAGTTTATTTTAATTTATAGATCATTTAATGTTTTTGTTGTGAATAGACTGAATAAAATGAAAACGACGAGTACGACAGTATAAAATACGTAAATTCCTTTAGTCGCAAAGAATACGTTTATTTAATAAAAAAAATATTATTTTAGTTTGATTGGTGCTTTCAATATAGGGTTCAGTGTTGTTGTTTTTGTTGTTAAGTTCAGCTGTGCCCATCTACACCACACAAATAATAGTACAGACAAATTATTTTTATTAATACATTAGCCGTTGAGTATCAACCCTTTAGTTCTGTAAGGACACCTGCTTAACTTTACTTATTCTTTTTTTGGATTTACTACGAAATTATTCAAATAAGGCCATAAGCGCGGCAACCTGTAAATGACACACTAAATCCAGCAATAACTTATGTACAAAAATCAATGGGCACTCCTTGACCCAGTTGACAGCGAGCAAAGCTTCGACACTGTATCGAATGCAACAATAATCTATAATGAACCTATATAGTAATTTTATTTTTCGTTTATTAAAATTTAGGCGTACACCTGTTTATTACACATAGCGGCTCGCTCCGGCTCTGCTCGGGTCTTTAACAAAAAATTCAACAATATTTGACTTTGTTTTTTTTTTTAAATAAAAGAAAACTTATTGCGGCATAACTATAATAGTTAGACATATGCTGTCGCGACACTTTTTGTAAATAATAATGTGTTCTACAAAGTCGTAGTACATTATTTTATTCTATCATCGATAGTTTTCGCAGGGCAGGCGATGTAAAGAATATTTTAGGTAATTTTTTTATACCTTGGGTTACATTATTGCAGTATTAGTAAGGATCCCTAATTTTATTCAAAAAAGTTTATGTCCTATGTCACTCGGCAATAGTGTAGCTTCCAAACAGTGAAAGAATTTTTCAAATCGGTTCAGTAGTTTCGGAGCCTATTCAATACAAAAAAACAAACAAATCTTTCCTCTTGATAATATTTCTATATTTATATACATATATAAAAATGAATTTCTGTTCGTTAGTCTCGCTAAAACTCGAGAACGGTTGGACCGATTTGGCTAATTTTGGTGTTGAATTGTTTGTGGAAGTCCAGAAAGGGTTTAAAAGGTAGATAAATATGAAAATGCTCGGAAACAATTTGGTTTTTCCTTTGATGTGTCCCCCGTCGGACGGATTCCTTTTGTTTGTTTTAAGTTTATTTTATACAAAAGTTTAGGTATTTTATTTATCGATTGAGGCACTACGAAGTCTGCCGGGTCGGCCAGTATTATATATTATTATATTACACATTACCCATATTTACGTTGATTACTATTTATTTAGATGCTTTTCTGGCCGAATTAAATAGTTAATGGCTCAGATTGTACGAAGTCGTTTGTGTATTTCTAATCTACAGAAAACATTTTTAATTTCACAGTTTCTAGATTATCTACATTTATTTAAACCCTTCTTATATTTGTTTTAACTTTCACATGCATATTTTTAGGATTTATTCATTAAATTCTAACATAATTAAACGTTTAAGTGTTTCTCAAACTATGAATAAATGATATCTTTAAAATTCGAAAGAAAGCGATGGTCTGGTTTGTGACTATGATACTTTAGGCAAACTATAGCAGCTTAATACGACCGTCCTGTTAATTTATGTTCTAATAATAACAGTGCAAAATTTCAATAATTTTTTCACTTTTATTTCAATCTCATAAAAAAATTAAGTACTGGTCTACTGTTATGAGGCTACTGTTGGCTCTTTTAAAGAACTTCGACAAAACACAGCAGCATACACTCTAGTTAATCTAGAAGTCGTTTGCCTCACAGCGTGTCTCGTGCTCGACTATAAAAGCATTTATGTTTAGCGTCGTCTGGGTCTGGTCCGATCGATAATGGAAATGTTGAATGTCTGAGAAGTATACTTATAAGGAAATGTCTGACTTCTCTTTTATTTCATAGCCACATGGATAGATATGTTGTAGGAATTGTATGTCCGCACGGGTATGTACCACCTTTCTTCGTCTTTGGTGTTTCTGCAGCAAATCAGTCATGCGCTCAGGCTTGAAGGGTGGGATATCCGTTTTTCAGTATAGCTGAAATTCCGGCCTCATGTCTCAAGATGGAAGGTTGTGACATGATGTGATGGGCTTCGTTGACCACTTTACAAATGGCCGTGAGCTTTCTAACCCAACTACGCAATAAGATAGCTTTTTTTTATTGGAAAAATAAACGGAAGCTTTTCTTTAAACGATGCAAGCTGATACATCAGCTGTCACAGCTGTCCAATGTAGATGAAAATAGAAGTTGTGTGATTACTTGTACTATTTTGCGGTCAAGTATTAATATTGAATTACTACGATAGAACCCATCTAGTGTAATTAAAAATTGCATGTTTGTTTATTCGTAATCAATCAATGCGTTCGCACATGATCTTTTCCAGTGACTAGAATGCTTAGTACTGTTTTGTGGGCACTTTACCTTAGCTTTGTGTCCAATAAATAATACAGTTGCATGTTTACAATGTTACCATTCTAACTCTTGGCATAATAGACGACTATTCAGAAGTTTCTAAACTAATTGAGGCATTTAGTAAAAAGCGTCAAACGACCACTTGGTAACAGGTAATGGCGGCGTAGATATGCATTTGCTTTAGCATTGCCGATGCCCATTAACATATATATGAGCAATAAAGATATGAGCAATCAGCTTGGGAGTTGTATTCAGGAAATATCCCTATACCGTGATTATGCAGATACATTTTAAACAGACCTGCGAAATAATTCGATAACAGGTATTACTAGTAGATATTTTTGAAGTTTATTTTGCTAACAGGTTCAACAGAAGATTTGCGCGGAGATGATGTTCTGTCGGGCAGGTCTACTCCACTGGCGAGACCCCGCAAGGAGACCGCTGGCCAACCACTACGTACCAACAGGTATTATAGCTTTCTCAAAAACGTAGTTATATGTATTACAAATACACATTTCTCTAGAACCTTCACGATTAAAATCATCGCCTTTCTTTATATATTTTAAATTAGTCTATACTAATATTATAAAGAGGAAAGATTTGTTTGTTTGTTTGTTTCGAATAGGCTCCGAAACTACTGGACCGATTTGAAAAATTCTTTTTCCATTAGATACCGACATTGTCCCTGATGAACATAGGCTCCTTTTTTATTTTTTATTTTTTTTTTTGGTTTCATGTGTGTTTTAATGTTTCCGAAGCGAAGCGAGGGCGGGTCGCTAGTCTCATATAAAGGTAACTAGATAATGATTTTGGCGATGAAGTTTTTTTTTTTTTGGATAAATTGTGTTTTTTAGAAATTATATTTAAATACGAATTACATTTTGATAAAATGATGAAAAATGAATAATATTTTTTTACATTTTGATAAAATGATGAAAAATGAATAATATTTTTCGATCTTAATGACAGAATAATTAAAAAATAAGAACTGGTTATTTAAAGAAAAAATCTAAATTATCGATAAAGTTGATTATTGAAAACACGAATAAACAACATTTTCTGAAAATAAATCATAACTAGATCGATATATCGCCCCCGAAACCCCCTGCATAACAAATTTTATGAAAATCGTTGGAGCTGTTTTCGAGATTCAGATTATATAATATATATATTTATATACAAGAATTGCTCGTTTAAAGATATAAGATAATGAAAACAAAAACAGAAAAGAGATTTAATTCCAAACGCCTGATTATTTTGTACCCGCAATAAAGTCTGTTGCTAACGTTTAATGACAGGAGTTACGATGAGTTTTACATGTCCAACATCGACCGTTGTTTAAGCGGAAATACCACTGATAACTAGGTAATACAAAAAAAACGTATGTAAGTGAATAAGCGCACACTTAATCTTTACCATCTACATATCGTATCTCACAGGGTAGCAGTAAGTACGTTTGATCATCTATATCGAGAAGCAGTTATGAGTTTAAAAGCCAAAATACTTATTTAAAAAAAAGAAGTGTGGTGTCGTGGGACACCGGATAGGAGCGAAGTTCCTTATTATAAAAATATTAATTTAAAGTTCTATTCGAGGTATAAAGAAAATAATTATTCGGGTATACATTTTTAATAATGGTTTTTTTTAATGATAAAAATAAAAAATATAATTATTGTTAATATTAGTACCCCCATTCTTTGAATCAATTCCAAAAGTTTCATGAAATATAGTACAGAGCCACCTATTACTAACCAAAGAAACTGTGTTGAAATCCCGACCATAGATTATACACTTAATATATTTGAGATAGATGCGCAACTCTCATTTTTATTTTTGCTTTAGTTAGAGCCCGGGACAGCAGGCGTCGCTGCTGTCGATTATTAGTCTCCCTACCCCCCACCAGGTGGCTTTTTTAGTAATTTTAATATTTTTTATAATTAACTCTCTTTATGAAAAAATCTTATCGTTTAGAATCNCCCTAAAAAAGGGAGAATTCCCTAAAAGTGGAAGCACTGCTTCAAAGTACGCTACATTTTTTATTGAGTCAGAACTCATATCTGCCATCTAGTGAGTTTATTAGATCATTAATGCCTAAAAGTTACAAAAATGACGTCGCCACAGGAGTAAGATGACGCTAGTTGTATGTTATTTTCCTTTGTATGGGAGTTGCACCCCCCTGATCCCGACCAAACAAAGGATTGCATAGTTCTTTCTGCTATCAACAGATGGCGCTTAGCCAAAATATAAATAATAAAAATCTTACGTTACGGACATTTTTTTCCCGATTAGGGTACCCCTCCGCATCGTCCCATAAGGGACTTCGTTTCAAAAATTACCTATTTGCTGGTAGTTTAAGGAGATATTCCAACAACGCGCAGACGGGACATACAATTCAGTCTATCTTTCGTGTTTCAAGATGGATGACGATGTTAATGGGATAATGCAGATTTAAAGTATTTATTTATTTATTTATTACACTTCATGTAAAATTTACATTGGCGGACTTAATGCCTAAGTCATTCTCTACCAGTCGACCAAAGGTAGTGCAGAGTAAATAGTGGTAGGAGCAATGAAATTTATATTAAGTTACAAATATACACAAAAAAGTCTATATATACAATTATACATATTTTATATACACAATCAAATATACATATACATACATAAATACATACATACATAATATATTAATACGTGAAGCAAAAACTTTGTATCCCTTTTTACGAAAATTGCGCGGACGTAGGAGTATGAAATTTCCCACACTTATAGAGAATATAGCGAAGGAGTGCCGAATGGTTTTTTTTTTTTAAATTATGCATTAATAATACATTAAATCAATAAAAAAACGATACACACACTACCATGTATTTGACACACACACATATGAATACTCTGTTTATTGTCAAACTTTTGTTGCTCTGTTAGTCTGTGATCAAATTGAGAATAGGTTAATATTGTTTATTTGTCTATAGTGTAATCTTGGCGAAATCTGTGATTATAGAAGTATAGAGTCTTTGACAATAGAACCATAATAACGTTCAAACTTTTAATTTCAATTAATTATAGTCGAATGTCGACTACTGCGGGGACCACTAGTACATATAATAGTTGAAGTATGATTGACACGACACATCACTTTGTTCAGGTTCGGTTTCAGACAGTCGCACGCGAAGACGGCGAAGGTGGGCGATTTGACCCTTGCAGCCGAGCAAGCGTTTGAAGCCCCGAACGACAAGGATATGGCACTCAACAACAACGCACTTGGTTAGAAGAGTTTTTGATATATCTCAATCAAATTGTTGAAATCGATTTTAAGCTTTGCAGTTGTGTGTATCATCACTACATAGTATAAAACAAAGTGGCTTTCTCTGTCCCTATATCTGTCTGTCCCTATGTATGCTTAAATCTTTAAAACTACGTAACGGATTTTGATGCGGTTTTTTTTAATAGATAGAGTGATTGAAGAGGAAGGTTTATATGTATAATAACATCCATTAAATAGTAGAGAAAACAATAATAAATTACAGTTTCCGAAGCGAAGCGAGGGCGGGTCGCTAATAAATATATATGACAATATTATAATTTAGTTAAAGGTATACTATGAACCAGATTAAGTAAGTGAAGGGCGGGACAGCCTTTGTAACTATACTGAGACCTTGGAACTTATATCTCAAGGTGGGTGGCGCATTTACGTTGTAGATGTCTATGGGCTCCGGTAGCCACTTAACACCAGGTGGGCTGTGAGCTCGTCCAACCATCTAAGCAATAAATAAATTAAAAAAAAAGTAAGTGAGTATTTGACTAGAAATTGGGCATCTAATATGCCTTTTGTCTTAACAACTGTTCAACATAAAACATGGCGCCTAAACGTTTTTCGTTTTGCTAAACAATTAAAATGAAAGGATGTTGTATAATAAATGTATATTATGACATACTGAGGAGTTGCTTTCACTGGAAGATACACTCGGATTGTCACATCTGCTTATAGCGCATTGTGCTGATTCCAGATAACAAATTAAAATATAACAAAAACAAAACGTAAAATTAATGGAACACGCATGTTGCTTTACTTACGATTATATTAAACTTATATTGTATGGATCTGTGTGCTTAGTGCGAGTTTCTTAACGTTCTCGATAGCGTAAAAGTTAACCCAATTTTGTATGCATTTGGAACAGCGCCCCTACCGGCAAACGTAGGCAAACGATCCCATTCCATACAAATATGAGCTAACTTTTACGCTATCGAGAACGTTAAAAAAAAAAAACTCGCACTAAGCACACTGAATGTTGGGCGACGAAAGTAAAGCATGAAAGAGAGATGTGAATGTGGAGATGGATGTGTGGAGTGACAAGAATGGACAAGATAAGGAATGAGTATATCAGAGGAAGTGTGAAAGTAGCCCCGATAATTAACAAATTAAATAGCGTACGGTTAGCGTGGTATGGACATGTGATGCGTAGAGAGGAGATGCATGTGACTAGGAGATGTATGGAAATGGTAGTGCGAGGTAGAGGGGGAAGAGGTCGACCCTGGATGGAGTGTGTGACTGACGACATGAGAAAGAGAAGAGTGAGTGTTGAGATGACGGCTGATAGAAGAGAATGGAATAGAAAAATTCGCTGTACCGACCCCATCTAGTGGGATAAGGTGGAGAATAAAAAATAAATAAAAATATAGTTATGATTAAGTTTAAAAAATCTTCACGAGAAATCGTCAATAACTATTTCTATATATTCTATTCAATAACTATTTTATAATAGTATGAAGTTAAAATGCCCGTAATGGTAAAGCTGTTTACGATATACTGCTATAATTTAATTTTCAGATAAGAAAATCACGAGTAATTATCACCAGCTACCTCTCGTCGCTACGCAAGTGTCATCAGGAGGCGTCACCAACATAGTAGGGGCGGCTGGTCTACCGAAGGCCGTCACCAAGCAAACAGTCATATTAACTTACCAGACGCAACAGTACGCTCCCCAGGTAAAAATCTTCATCATATTTTTGGAAAACGGAAATGATGTTTTTGAAAAACCACGACGACTTTCATTTTTTTTAATTGGCTTCCGATGACAGACGTGTCATGTAAACTTTGATTTATTACAAAGAGATTTATTTGTGTAAACCGTATGTAGCATCAATACCAAACTGAATGTTATCTATAAATAATGTGTATAATTGAAAAATTGAATTGCATTATTATTGACATTGTTTTGTAGAAATACATTTTTAAGTAAAATTAATGTAGGTACTATTTGTAACCTTTTGTCTCAATCTAAACTCCTACAACCTGAAATATACGCGATACAGATCTGACAATCTAAATAAATGGGTACTTACTATTGGATTTTATTCCTTAGATGGGTGTGAGAGCCCATAGACATCTACAACGTAAATGCCGCCACCTACCTTGAGATATAAGTTCTAAGATTTAAGTTTTTACAGTACCTACCCGTGCGGACTCACAAGACGTCCTACTACCAGTAAAATTATAAGTTTAGATTAAAAATGTTATCTTGCTTCAAATACGAGTACTTTTAAGTACTACAGTTCACCACAAAAGCCATTCTCATCAATCGCAGGCTGGTCAAACTAAAGCCGACGTGACAGGCGTGCGAGCTGCTCCTCCGAAGACACAACCTCCCGGGAAATACACATTCCAAACAAACCAACTTCCGAGACCCCAGTATCCGGCCGTCAAAAATATCGACGCTAAGGCCACTAAACAGGTAAAATGTTGCTTAAATTGATTAGTACAACAGTTACAACAGGATTGTCGATAATCCCATTCTCACGGATCGTTTAGAATCTCTGGGTCTGCGGAGGGACTTCGGTTTCCTCTGTATTTTGTACCGCATGTTCCATGGGGAATGCTCTGAGGAATTGTTCGAGATGATACCGACATCTCGTTTTTACCATCGCACCGCTCGCCACCGGAGTAGAGTTCATCCATACTACCTGGAGCCACTACGTTTATCCACAGTGCGTTACCAGAGATCTTTTTGCCACGTACCATCCGGCTATGGAACGAGCTCCCCTCCACGGTGTTTTCCCGAGGGCTATGACATGTCCTTCTTCAAACGAGGCTTGTGGAGAGTATTAAACGGTAGGCAACGGCTTGGCTCTGCCCCTGGCATTGCTGACGTCCATGAGCTACGGTGACCACTTACTAGGTGGGCCGTATGCTCGTCTACCTACAAAGGCAATAAAAAATAAATAATTAAAAGCCTTTTTTATTGATAGTACGTACGACGTATTATTTATCGATAGTACGGCGCGACTTAATGATTTATTGATAGTATGACATATTATATATTGATAGTACGTTGTGTTGTTTAATGTACATTTTGGAAATATGCACTGCTTAAAGTAAATAGATCTACGGTGAAAATAAGATTATATAAGACGATACATGATCACAAATAATTAATTGTCAATAAGCGATTTTAAGAAACAATAGTGTATATCAATCAAGTGAATTACTAAGAATTATAAAATTAATGTAGATTACGGAGAATTGTTTAGTTTCATAGCTAAAAACTTCTTCTAAGAATTTTAAAATTCCAACATTATTCCGACGAAAGTATCACAAATGTCGATAATATGACATTTCGTTACATTTCCTGTTCATATGTTGCAAAACTTTTCGGTGAAGTTACATAAACTTATAGAATCATTTTCGTAAACAGATATGAACTTTAACGTTGTGAAAATAAAACATTTTTCGAGTTTAAAACGGAAAATAGGTCACGTTGATCTATTTTGGTGGTTGCTGTTTAAGAAACTAGCCGGTTGTTTGACGAAAATATCGCTGCAGAGTGCATCTCGCTAACAGCGACATACATGATAACAAAATATATATAATATTATTAAAGATTTTGCTTAAGAAACATATTAAAAAAATTGATAGAATTTATATTATTTACGACATGTATTAAATATTATAAATAAATAAATAACAAGGAAATGTATTTTCTATTACTGATTTAAAATCGTGATGTATAAATAATGATAGCCTTGAGAGGCTATTTCAGCGTAATCTTAACTAGTAGGTGAACTCACGGGGCTCAAACCTGACGGCGTTGCTAACACGAGCCCTAGCAAGAGCCGTGCTTCACAGAATCTATCACCGGATCGGAAACGCGAACCACTGAGAAGATTCGGCGAGAAATTCAGTGGGCTGTGTCAGAGGGTTATTTTACTCGTCGAGCCCTTCGTCGCAAGCGACGGGTTCGACGAGAACGATGACCGGTGCTTGAGGTACCTAAAAGCACCGTTATTGGATCGGGAGGATCCGAAGTGACGTGGTTTGGGCGACGTCGACTGCTTTCCATTCTGTCCGCAGGATCAGGAATGGTGTGCAGTGGCATAGCACTTGTTGTAATAACATTAAATAAAGTATTGTATGTTTTTGACCGCTCCCAAAGCCGGAGCGATAAAGTTAAACTACCTTAATATTATTAAAAGTCGTTTTTCCCAATGATTGGGATACGCAACCGTCAATATTACGGCTATTGATCCCAAGTTTTGTACGCTATACACTGACATAACAACTCCTCTAAATATCATGTCTCTAAAACTGGGATTAATAAACAGCAATCACTTAATCAGCTATAGAAATAATCATATTTGTGTAATATTGGGATACAACAGTGGGGGCAAAAGTGTGAACATTTTATTTTTAAATGGTATTTAAATTTGTAGATTCGATTCATAAATATTAAAACTTACATTTAATACACTACTGCAAAATACTATAATATCACAACGAAAGTATTTAGCACACTGTTGTTTTATGAAATATTTGAAATTAACAGTCTTAATTATCATATTTAAACTGAAGTGCAAATTACAAATTTCTACATGAATTTAGTGAAAGCAATAAAATTTCGAATATTTTGTTCTTTCATAGGTAAGATCATTTACATTTTAAAATAATGATTTCGAAAGAATGCGTTTCTTAAACACCACCTCGGTGTTTAATTAAAAAGCAAAATTAATTGCTTCGTCCATTTCCCCTTCGTTAGAGACCGTGAAATGACGTACGTATAGTATACAACAATACATTACGCGCTGTTGAAACTTAAAAAAATTAAGTGTAATTTCACTTTTTTAAAGAATAAATGTTGGTTCAGTGAACGATATTTAGTTACAGCTATCTCGAGATATGTCCGGTGATTTTTGATTGCGTTTAGCCACATGTATTTTTAAATGGCACAACTGTCGCATGTCGCAACTACGAGACATTTGAATATCTATGATCGTAACGTAAAGAGTACCGGACGTATGTTTACGTGATTTTTCATTGCATTTTATGAAAATCCAGATGAATTATCCACGAAATGGTCGAGATTTTACTTGTAGTTTTATTCGCAAGTGCAGTGAAAGTGAATTTTCTAATTGCAGTATTTGTTTCGTTAATTTCAGGTGGTAAATAATACAAGGAAATCGAACACTACTGATGGATGGAGAGAAGGTAGGTGGCAATAATTTATACAATTTATTAAATCGTAAAAATTCCATTTTATTACCTTAATTCATTGCAATAACGTATATGTACGTATTTTTTTTATTTTTTTCTTATTAAAAACTGAATGTGCGTTTCCACATTACATTTCTTCATATGTTGAATAACTGTTACGTATAAAACGTGTATTGTTACTGTTTGGAACTGTATGTCGGTGAAAAAGTAATTATTCTAACAGTATGACTGACCGACGCAACTTTCATTCGCCGTTATGTCTTCCTCTCTTTCATAATCCAAGGAATAAATAGCTTTCAAATTGAAACGACGAATCCTAGTGTCTTCGTTACGATGTGTGATCCATTTTAATTTTACTTCGATCTCGTCTCTCAAGGCAAAGTATGTATATATCCGTTGGCTCCTCCAACTAATAATATATTTATTAATATTAACGTCTCAGTCGTTTTTTTCACGTATTTATATAGAACAAATATTAAAAAAAATATTCAAAGTGGAACGCACGATTGATACGCACCAGAGAATAAATTATAGCACCCCCTCGTAAGGGCTTGCTAATACAAATCACAAAGTATCGGGTACTATTGTTACTACGGATATTAGGTGCTTTTAGGCTCTTCAAGCACCGGTCACCGTCCTCGTCGAATTTGTCTATTATGACGAAGAGTTCGAAAAGCGAAGTAAACCATAGACACAGCCCACTGAGAATTCTGGCCGGGTCTTCTCAGTGGGTCGCGATTCCGATCCGGTGGTATATTCTGCGAAGCACTGCTCGTGCTTGGGCTAGTGTTAGCAAATTCTCTCAAGTTGAGCCCGTGAGCTCACCTACCCCTCCGGGCGTAGCTGGAATAGCCTCATAGGCTACAACGAATAGGTAGGGACAAAAACGGATATTAAGCATGTAGCAGGAATCCGAATTCTAAATAACAGACCTCCAGACTAAGATCCATTAAGTCCCTAAGCGATATATGCTATTTAATAACTAATAATAACACCGCCGTTCTTCCTTTCACCGACCTTAAATATGTACATTGACATTGATTTATTTTGATAAGTTCGTTCGTAATTTGCACGGTTATAATTAAAACTGAATGAATGGGACTTGCATCGCATTGTATTCTTAGTTTTAGGATCCTAGTAAATTTAAATCAAATCCGTTTTCAAAAAACGTTTTTGTAGACATTTTTAACACTGTATAGAGTAATAATGCAAAGACATAACAAAAAGTAAAATCCTGTCTAAACATGATGGTCACGACCGTCAGAGGTGAGGAAACGACGCGAGCAGGAGGAGAGCGTAACATTTAATATTACAAAGGAACAGTCTTCCAATGAGCTATCGGTAGCCAGCCTTTGGTTTCAATCTCGTGTGTAGATTGCATGAGTTTGGTCAAATCGAGTCAGATTGGAATCATCTACTCTGAAAATAACTTGCCACTATAAATCATAGGTTTGATTGATAACTTTCTTCTGGGGCAAAGTGGCGGGGAACATGCACACCGCGCGAAACGCGTCTTCTTGCCCATACTCCGGATTGGACGACTTCTTCATTATCCAAGGCTCGAACACGGCTCGATGAGCACTAAGGGGTTTTAGTCGATTCAAGTGTGACATGCCGGCTTACCGTCCCCAACATCTGGGAAAAGTCCGCCGTTTTCCTCCAAAAAAAAATTGGCTTTCTTCATATTAAAAACAACTAACAGGTGCGGGGTCAGCAATTTCAACGGATTCGGGTGTATGGACCGGAGGTGAAGGACCCGCGGGCTGCGAATCACCGCATGCGCGCCGCAGACCTCGGAACTTGGAGATGGTGATGAGAGGATCACATACCTTCCATCTACGAGAGTTGCAAGTCGCCGATCTTGATATTATGGGTAAGTGTTAAATACCACGCAACGAAAAGTTCTGTTTCTATAAGTTTTACCAGACTAAACGAAATGCAGAGTGTTTTGACTTTTCAAAAATAACTTACACAGTATTAAATTTAATTCAAAATTAACTTTACATTTAATTATAAATCTTAACAGCAATCATCATTTCAGACTTTTAAATATTTCCAGATGACGCAGTAGTTACGGGCCACGCAGTAATCCCTCTTCCAAAGCTACCCAGTTCCTTCGATAGTGAGCCCTCGCCAGATTATGAAGCGCCGGCTCCAATCTACGACCCGCCTTCGCCAATACTACCCAAGCCTATTCAGATACCAGAATTTGAGCAAACGCAGAATTCCCATATGTCAACTCTGGATAGATACAGGAATAGAACCAGACCAAGTACAATACAGACAAGCTTAGAGGAGGAAAAGTTTGTTCGTGATAGGGCCCAACCCGAAAAATTGAATAAACAGGTCAGTTACTTAAACATTCTCGTATTTTACCGCTTATGCCTGTGAAGTGTAATTGAGATTTCGGATAAATGTTTCAAATCGCGTTGAAATCTTCTACCAATTTATTGATGCCGATACCATCGTCCCACAATAGCACAACCCTATTCAAAAATGAGCTTCAGCGGGCTCTGACTATTATGCCATCACATTGCTATCGCCGACTGGCATTTAATAATGATGGGGCATACCGTGAGCCACCATGAGTAGGTACCACCATCCTATTTGTGCCGCGAAGCAGTTATGTTTTCCAGTTTGGAGAACAGGACAGTTGTTACACAATCCATGTTCCAAAATGGGTGGTGGTCTTCACGTGTAATATTTATCGAGCTCGTTTACCTATCTCTGCAATAAGGCAAGATTTATTTAAAGCCGCTTGACCGAAAATAAAAGCCTGCTCTAAATTAACAAGCGTTACTTAATTAATAATTAGCATTAATTATCAAGCAACTTGAAAGCGAAAATTAATCTCAATTTAACCAAATTTCTTCACATCAATTCAGAACTCGTTCGTGAAATCATCTAGCGGAGTGCTGTCTCCGACGACCATTAGTTCGAGCAAAGAATCTAGTCCCTCGTGCAAGAGTGAGGCGAGTCACTTTGGCAACAGCAGCGCTTGGCAGAGCCACGCTGCTGGAGAAGCTATGGCTGCCAGGTAGAGAATATTAGAAATCCTCAATCATTTTTCAGTAATTACATATATTACTGGTGGTAGAACCTCTTGTGAGTCCGCACGGGTAGGTACCACCACCCCGCCTATATCTGCCGTGAAGCAGTAATGCGTTTCGGTTTCAAGGGGGGGGGCAGCCGTTGTAACTATACTGAGACCTTAGAACTTATATCTCAGGGTGGGGGCGCATTTACGTTATAGACGTCTATGGACTCCAGTAACCACTTAACACCAGGTGGGCAGTGAGCTCTTTCATCCATATAAGCAATAAAAAAAGGTAATTTGTGGGTACTATGTCTGCAGTGAAGCAATTTGAGTTCTTGTTCAAGGACGTTAGTCCAATTTAATTGAAATTGTCCTGATCTGGTGTAATCCAGTACGGGTAAGTACCAACGTCCTGCCTATTTCTATCGTAAATCGTCAAATGTTCCGGGTTGAAGATTAGAACAGCCAAGATTGATACTTCGGCCTCACTTATTAAAGTAGGGTTTTCAAATTCAGGTTATAATGCCAAGTGGGCTTTGACTTCGTATAGCTATACCATATTTTAAAGTACATAAATAAAGGTTCTTTTGAGTCAACATTCAGCAGGAGACAGCTATCTGTCTGCTTAACTCTTTGTGTCGTTTGTTTGTAGGTCCCAAGACGACGTGTCCATCGCTCTAAGTGTATCCAGCTGTGAAGATGACAAATCTAAAATAGAGAACAAGGAACCATTTAAACCACCTGAAGTAGAAGTACCAAAGAAAACAATCGTTATTATGGATGAAGCCCCGGTGCCACATCCGTTGCTGATGAAGTCTTTGACCCTGAGTCAGCATGACAGCCTGCGAGGCACTATGATGGGTGAGTTTCAAACACGTTCATACACGTCTAGCCGTACTTGCCCGCTTCGCTGGGCATTTAAAATGAACATTATTATTTATTTTCATTATTATTAGGGAATCCAACACTCATATAAATATTAGCCTATCCATTAATTACATGTATTTTCTACATGGATACCAAGTTTCAAGTCAATCGGTTGCATGGTTCAGTAGTTACAACGGAGCATCCGTAAAAACCACTGTAGATTTATATATTAGTATAGATTATATTTGTTTATTCATTAGGTTATTTATTCGAAATTGCACACGGTCATATTTAAAAAAAAAAAGCGCAATTTATTAATATTACAGAAACGAGAGACACTCTTACCAAATAGTTTTCACCTTCCATTGTTTTTTCTGCACTTTAAAATCTAATGTGCGCTTCCCAAATTTCCAGGTTCAATGACAAGTTCGAACTACAGCACCACAAGCACCTGCACGAATCAGAGCATCGACCACCACAACTTGACTCTCACATTAGAAGAATCCAAATTCGACATGTCCGCCCTAGAGACGTCCACTCAAAGCTTATTGGATGACGAAACGTCTCCAGCGGACAGCCTCATATCTTCCACCAGCAACAGCGACTCGAATAACGAGCTGCACGTAGACAGGGACCCCCCTTCCATATCAAGCGCATATCAAACCTGTAACACGAAGACCAGAACACCGGAGCCGGTTGCGGAGACGCAAGATAAAGTTGACGGACAGGCTACAGAATGTGTAAAGGAGATGAAGTAAATATAATTTTACTTGAGCTTATTTAATATTAAACACGAAGTAGTATTTACATTACTCAATTACTATACCAGTTTTAACATCGACCTGTGGGATCAAAATTGGTTTTTATTGCTTAGATGGTGTTAAGTGGTTACTGGAGCCTATAGACATCTACAACGTAAATGCGCCACCCACCTTGAGATATAAGTTCTAAAGTCTCATTATAGGCACAACGTCTGCCCCACCCTTCAAACCGAAACGCATTACTGCTTCACGGCGGAAATAGGCAGGGTGGTGGGGAGGGGGGGCAAAGCCAACCTTCTTTAAAAATTATATACCGAAAATATCACATGAATATAATTATAATTAATAATGAATCGTTGCCAAATTAAACATTAAAAAAGAATAGTACGCAAACCACATCTTTATTGGTGGAGCAAAACAATCTCCACTAAAAGCAGAGTTAAGGTCAGCGCAGACCGAGAGGAATAATCCCCGCGCGGTCTCGGGCATTTTCTTTATGGATCGCGTACGCGTACGACGCGGGCGCCTACTCAACACCGCACATCTTCGCACGCGCGAGTATTTTTTGTCGGGTTCAAGCATTTATGCACTTTATTTTTATAATTTGAAAGCTTATTTTCATGTGCGTTAATAACATCTTCTCCGCTGCGCTCCGTTCTGTCTGCGCTGACGCTTAGAAACAGAACCGAATTTAATTAATCAAAAATTGCTTCGATGTGCGTTTGTAATAAAACGTGTTTGCAACCCAACAGTGAAATAGTTCAAAGCAACAGCGAGTCTGGCAGCAAGCACGCCACCCCCGACTCCCCGGGGACCCCAACACACGCCTCGGCCTCCCTGTCCCTGTCCGACGGACGAGATTTCTTTGACGACGAAATAGCAGACCAGCCCGCCTTGCTCTTCCGAAGTAAGTTTCTGGCAAATTAAATCGCAAAAAAATAATTTTGTTACTTATTGTAAGGCCGGTAAGAGTAACGCCATCTATCGCCGAACAGTCGAACGAATATCGAAGAATCTAGTAGCATCTAAAACGCTCGATAACTACAACGCCATCTATTGTCAGATAGCGGAAACACACAGTACTAGTCTTTTGTGGAATATTCTCGACGATTCTAGGGATTTCGTCTCGAATATAAAAGCGTTGCAGAGATGGCACGCAGTTAGTCAGTAATCGGAACTACTCGAAGCGAAACAACCAACGGATCACTTGAAGCGAAACGGAAGAAGCGAATTGAGAGTTTTAAAGTGTTTTTTGGGTGTTTTAAGTGTTCTAAATGTTGAATACAGTGTTAACTTGTAATTCGGTACAAATTTTATGTATCCCGAATCCCAGCGCATAACATTACGATATTCCATATACAATTTTTCTTTTCAAGTACCTACAATGTTTTAAAGAAGATCGGTGCTCTTAATGACATCTTAAAACTTATACATTACATTTAAGTCATTCAATCGCGAATTTTTTTCAGCGAGTTTGTGGTCTTTTTAACACGCTTTTGGTATGGATTCTTTGAATGTCACTTTCACCGACTTTAAAACGTCTCATTAACTTCAAAATTTAACGCTTAAATACCGCTTCAAAGACCGATGACGATACAATAAGTTATTTTGAATAACCGGTGCGACGTGATAGCTCTCAGGGTTAGGCTGTCCACCGGAACGGAGCGAGGCAGCGGAGCAGAGAAATATTAACCAATTAGGCTGCCTGTCCACCGGAGCGGAGCGAGGCAGCGGAGCGGGGAAGCGAGTGTGTGCGCGCACTCGCAGTGTGCCCTCGTAGTCCGACTAGTGCGAATGTAACCAACGCAATGAAGACGATGGATGAAAAACTTATTAGAAGTGTGAAAAAGTTTCCGTGCATTTGGAAGACAACTTCAGAATATTACAAATGCAACGAAACAAAAGATGCTGCGTGGGACCAAATAACCATTGAAACAAACATATCGGATGGTAAATAATGTTATGTATTGTATCCAGTAATCTTTTTTTTTGAAGTAAATATTTATATAAGCACGCTTGGGCAGTAAGCTGTCAGGAAAAGTGTGATCGTATCATATTGGTGGTGGGGAGTCTGCTGGAGAATAATAACAACTTCACAACACCAACACTCAACAACCATTAAATATTTTTCTTTCTGCGTTTAGTCCATCACGTGGGTATGACCTCATACAGTTTTCCATTAATGGAAAAGCTTCGTCTCCTATAAATACGAACGGAATTTTAGCTCCACCTTGATACAATGGTATCGGCTCAGGTAAATTCAATCTCTTCTATTTTAGACTCTCACCGAAAATACTGTTATCAAAAATTCCTGCATCAGAAAATCTTCCCATAGATCCCATATCAACCATTATAATTTTCCTTCTGGCATCAGCTAAACATATCACTACAAATACTAAAGAAAATCTCTTTGTGTAGTTAAAAACGAAGACCCAGTCTTTGAGGGAGCCTTGATATATATATACATGCTTACCATCAAGAGAACCTGTACAATTTTTAAATTGCCATAGTTCATCAAAATCTTTTTCGATTTCTTTCCAGTCGTTTTCTTTTGGTTGCGGCATGACAAGTGGTTGTAATACATTCCACAAAGCATCACAAACCTGATCAACAATTCTTGATACACTTTTTAATCCAAGTCTGAATTACTCTCCCATCATTGTAAATGACTGGCCAGTTGCTAAATACCTGAAAAAGAAACTAATATAATTAATTGTACTTCGCCTAAGTGCATGTAATATTATTTTTCTGTTGATTTTTTCAGTTAAAACTGCCAAGTCGCGATGGAAACAACTGAGAGATAACCATCGAGATGCCTTAAAAAGACAAAATGCAACAAGGAGCGGACAGGCTAGAAAACAGCGAAAAGAATGGAAATATCAGAAAGCCATGTCATTTTTATTGCCTTACATGTGTAACAGAGACGGGTCATCTAACTTTGTGACATTGGACAACTCAGTAAGCGAAACTTCAAATCCACCATATACCATTGATGAGAGTTCATGCGAATCATGCAATTTGTTGTCATCAAATTCAAATAATGTTCCTTCTGTCGATATCCCTAATGATTCAACAACTTCAGAGTCTCTCCCACCCACATCCAAAAAAAAAAGAAAGAACGATGAAATTCTAGAACTTTTAAAAGAAAATCAAGAACGCCGTGAACTGCTGGAACGAGAACGGATAGAAGTTAAAAACATGATGTTAGCCAATGATCAATACGATGAAATAGACTTATTTTTTATTAATTTGGCTGCATCGACAAAAAAACTGCCGTATTATTTACAACTTCAAATTAAAAGAAAATGCTTTAATACAGTAATGTCAGCTGAAGAAAGTAATCTTCAACATATTTGGCATTCTCCGAATAATAATGGTTATTCTACAGACTCAACGCCTACACCAGATAATATCAACACTAGTATCGATACTCCTAGTGCTCCAAATGATAGCAACACTAGTATCAATACTCCTAGCGCTTCAAAAGTTCAAACAACCCAAGATATTGAAACATCTGCCGCAGAGCAAACAGGACCTAATGAAAAATGCGGACAACTTTGAGACATATTATGATTTTTAAATATAACATGGCGTCGTATGTATGCAAAAATAAAAGTTACTTTGATTTCAAAATGTGTACTTACTTTAAATATACTGCTAACCTTTCACACCTACTGATAGAATTTCTGTAATTTGTGTCTTGTTTCCGAATATATGGTTCAATCAGGGAGTGAAATGAAATCAAGCTCATGAAAAGTACATCTTGAAACTCTATAAGAGTTTTCGAAAATTTCTTCATCAGCAGTTTGGAAAAAAGTTAAATATTCTGAACGATGTTTGATATGATTTCTTAACGAAAATCTATGTTTCCTTATAGAATTGTTCAATTTGTATAATAATATGGTAATTAATTCAGTTTCTTGTGACTCCAATTCTTCTTTCTCAAGCAATGTAAGCTAATAATGTATTAACTTTTTCGATAACATGTCTGCTGTCACTGACATTTCGCGTAGAACTAAACTAATTGCCCGCCGCCGGGAGCTCGAATTGACTCGTCGCGTAGGTAGCTCCGCTCCGCATTACTTACTCGCTCCGTTCCGCAGCCTCGCTCCGTTCCGGTGGACAGACACAGTACGCAACTCCGCTCCGCCTTACTCCGTTTCTACGCTCCGCTCTGGTGCTCTCCGATCCAGTGGACAGACACCCTCTTCGTGGCTACATTTTCCATACATTACATATCCCACTCAGGCGACCGGGCAACGCAAAGCCGCCATCGTCTGAAACATGACTTATCGAATCCGATATTGGCGGATGAGGATCCCCTGGGTCCACTCTTGGTGCTTTTAAGCTCCTCAGGCAGCTGTCACCGTCATTATCGAACTTGCTTATTATGACCAAGAGTTCGAAGAGCGAATAGACACAGCCAACAGAGTTTCTCGCCGGATCTTCTCAGTGGGTCGCGATTCCGTTCCGGCGGTAGATTCTGCGAAGCACTGCTCTTGCTACGGCTAGTGTTTGCTAATTTTCTCAGGTTGAGTCCATAAGTTCACTTACCCGTCCGCGTGAAACTGGAATAGGTTTCTTTCTAAGTTTTCTTTTATGAAATGTTTTGTAGAAAATGCTGACGGCAGCCCTTCAAGCAAGGCCCTGGATTCAGAAAACAGCAAGCATCTCAGAAGATCGAGAGAACGTATTACTTGCAGTCCATTGGCGCAGAGGAATAGAAAAAGTAAGTCTCGTTTTAATAAAAAACTTCTCCCTACCCTTAAGCCATAGTAGGGTTGGGACATAATTTAAATTACCTACAGATTTTTCTTCCTATTTTTGGTACTTATATGTATTTATAACTTGCCCGATATTTGCAAATTAGGAGTCAGTGGGTAGTTTAAGATTGTGAATACAGTAAGGATGCTCTAACTGTGAATAAATGATGTAGGTGGATATGTAGATAACCGTTGTCGCACAATGGTAACTTTTTAATGACTATTTACTGATGGGAGAACGTCTTATGAGTCCGCACGTTTAGGTACTACCACCCTGCCTATTTCTGCTGTGAACCAGTAATGCGTTTCGGTTTGAAGGGCGGGGCCGCCGTTGTACTGTTAAAAGTGAGACCTGTCTCAAGTTGGGTGGTGGCATTTAGGTTTTAGATGTCCATGAGCTCCGGTAACCACTTAACATCAGGTGGGCCATGAGCTCGTCCACCCATCTAAGCAATAAAAGAAAGCACTATATAGATAGACCATTAGCACATTATATCTACAGTAGAAGGCTTTGTTTTTTTTGTTTTTTTATCCACAATTTTATTCAAATATTTGTCTGATATTATATTTTGGGCAAAAATCGAGTTTTTGGTATTCCTAATCTCGGCATCCGTATTGCCTTTGCAGCGCTTAAGCGTTCTTAAGTATTTTAATTCATTTATAACATGATATGCCAACAAGTTTCTAACATCATTAAGCTCTGTCCATCGATGGCAAAAAGTAGACAGAGCTTTGGTTTTATTGCCCTGGTAAGCAAACGAGACGAGCATGTTTAAGCCCTCCAACTCCTTTTTACCATTGCTGAGTTTATCCAAACTATCTAGATGCAATACGTTTATCCACAGTACGGTTTCAAGATATATTACTGGTTTTAGGACCTCTTCCGCACGGGTAGGTTTATATTTTTTTATTGCTTAGATGGGTGGACGAGCTCACAGCCCCCCTGGTGTTAAGTGGTTACTGGAGCTCATAGACATTTACGACGTAAATGCACCACCCACCTTGAGATATAAGTTCTAGGGTCTCAGTATAGTTACAACGGCTGCCCCACCCTTCAAACCGAAACGCATTACTGCTTCACGGCAGAAATAGGTAGGGTGGTGGTACCTACCCGCGCGTACTCACAAGAGGTCCTACCACCAGTAATATTGAGGCAAGCTTCATAGTATAACCAACGTGCGATAAGTAGCCCGGGAGTAGTTATTAGAAATCGATGTTTTTGATACAATGAATGATGGCGAGAGCGCAATGGATTTAATCAATAAATAACAATAACAATAAAAACTAGTTTGTGGACTTCGCAATGGCGGCGCTGAACGGACTCCATCCTTGGACACGTTGTCGAGCCTCGCCTCCGACGACCTCATGATGGACAATGACCTCGCACACTCCATAACCAGCCTTCAAAGCGTCGATGACTACATAGAGAGGTAAATCATTCATCTGCGTCATTCTATAATGGAAACATTAAAGAATAACCTAAGCATAACTGAAAAAAATAGTCTGGTTTTTTTTTTAGATATATTCGTTCCTAATAGATTTGTGAGCGTTGGTTCAATCGACAAATCTATATTTATTAAACATTATCTATATTATATATAAGTATATAAAAATGAATTGCTGTTCGTTAGTCTCGCTAAAACTCGAGAACGGCTGGACCGTTTTGGCTAATTTTGGTCTTGAATTATTTGTGGAAGTCCAAAGAAGGTTTATTAGGTAGATAAATATGAAATTGCTCTGAATTAAATAATAAAAATAACAATTTTGTTTTTCCTTTTTTTTTGTTTTAAGTTTATTTTATACAAAAGTTTAGGTATTTTATTTATCGATTGAGGCACTACGAAGTCTGCCGGGTCAGCTAGTTAGAAATAAAGTAATGAAATCTACGTAGTACAAATTTTCATTGTGACAGGTATATATATATTCTAGAAAATTCCTTTTAATTCTATAGAGTTGTAGAGGGTGGTAGATTAGGCACAGGATGTTACGATCGTATTGCCTATCCGTGGCGAGAAACAGAATCCTACTGTCAATCAAGAGTTCATTTCTCGCGATCAATAAATAATATGTCTTCTGTGTTTAAAGGCCTTAGAACAGATGACGATGATGATGATAATGGTAGTAAATAGCAATAGTTTGCATAGGTTGGACAGCTCCCTCCGCAGCGGCCTCAACTCTTTAGACGAGAGGCAACTACAGCAGGAGTTATCGTCATCAAAGTCTGCAGTGCGCCAATGGAGTCAACTCCTGGAACAGAGCAACATGTTGGACCGGCAGCTCGCCGCTATATCGCAGGGCATAAGTGCACCGGACTCGCTAACCGCAAGCAACAACAGTCTTACCAGTATTGGGTAAGTACGTTGAAAATTAAAGTCTATATCTCTGTGTCTGTTTTTAGGTTCGTAACGTTCATAATCGTTGCTGTACTATACGTACCTACCAGAACTAGTAGACCTAGCGTCAGGCAGGCCGTGACCTCGTTCAATAGAACCATTTTTGCACCCATAAATGATACCGTATGTTCCATGGGGAGTGCTCTGAGGAATTGTTCGAGATGATACCGGCATCTCGTTTTTACAATCGCACCGCCCGCCACCGGAGTAGAGTTCATCCATACTACCTGGAGCCACTTCGGTCATCCAGAGTGCGTTTCCAGAGGTCTTTTTTGCCACGTACCATCCGGCTATGGAATGAGCTCCCCTCCACGGTGTTTCCCGAGCGCTATGACATGTCCTTCTTCAAACGAGGCTTGTGGAGAGTATTAAGCGGTAGGCAGCGGCTTGGCTCTGCTCCTGGCATTGCTGAAGTCCATGGGCGACAGTAACCACTCACCATCAGGTGGGCCGTATGCTCGACTGCTTACAAGGGCAATAAAAAAAAAAAAAAATACAAGTGTATGTAATGTTTAAAAAGGTCTGAATAGCAATGAATTTATTTATTTAAAGTCATAATTTGGAAAACACCAAGAATTCCCTCACCCCTTCTAACCTTTAAAATGTCAGACGCAAAAACAATTCTAATTGAAAATAATAGGCTCTGTTGTGATCAAATGTGAATCGTTGACGACATCGTACTTAATTCAATGTAAAGAGAGCCCAAAAAACAATTATTCTAGAGGACACCGATTCTCATTACTGTGATAATAATTTCTACATATTTTTTTATTAATTTACTAGCTAACCGGGCAGACTTCGTAGTGCCTCAATCGATAAATAAAAGACCTAAGCTTTGGTATAAAATAAACTTTAAACAAACAAAAGGAATCCGTCCGACGGGGGACACATCAAAGGAAAAACAAAATTGTTATTTTTATTTAATTCCGAGCATTTTCAAATTCTTTAACCTTTTAAACCTTCTCTGAACTTCCACAAATAATTCAAGACCAAAATTAGCCAAATCAGTCCAGCCGTTCTCGAGTTTTAGCGAGACTACCGAACAGTAATTCATTTATATATATATAGATAGAAGATAGATAATTCTGGATATCGTGTAAACTAACGTCATCTGATTAAAATCGACTCACATTCTAAACACTCGAAAGAATCCCCAAAATTTAAACTTTACGTCTTGACAATGATCAAATGGAAAGTGAGTTTGAAAACAATTGAAAAACGTAAAAATCAACACAGTCGCTATTACGAGCTATACGTGTAATCAAATACCAATACACATAAACAAGACTGTTCAATTATTGTGTATTCATAGAACAATGAACAAAAGACATGTTGACAGTAGCGACAAAAGGCAAAGAATTGACGCCAACACGCGTATTCAGTGAAGAATATACAACAACAAGAAACCGATTAGGCAGAGATTCCAAGGAGAGCCACTACCTTTTCAAATATGGATGTAACTGGTATCTATCTCTTTATGCGGCGTTCTCGGGAAAACGTTCACTAGACCAAAAATGTCAACCTAGTTTTAGTAGAATCTACAGATTTCTCTGTACTCACAACGAATTAGAAAATAGCCTTTTTTGCGACTTAGATCGCTTATATTCGCGCGCAGAAATATTTTATTTATTCCCTATGATAATAAAAAAAAAAGGTTTCTCTAGAAAAATCTAGAAACTCTAAACTAATTCAAGATTTCCTGTTCACTTTGTTTATTCTTAAATTATTGTTTTTTTTTTGTTTACTATGATAGTTACTAGCTGCGGCTACTATATTTGTTGTAAGCAATTGGTGACTTGACAACTGTTAAATGTATTGACTATTGAAATTGCTTGCACATTCTATGTCGTACGTTGATAGCATGACCTGTAACCTTCTTTGATGTGGCAGCAACAACTATACCAAGCACTGAGTGAATCCACATGCAAACTCATATAGTATCAATGAACGTTCCAACCTTTTTCTTCAAGCGCATGTTTGAGTCGCATTTAGTTACCTTAGCGGTTGCATGCGAATGGAAGGCATTGGAAGGTTCGGCATAACGCGTAATAAATATTAAATGACTGTGAGTGTTAAATTTAAAATCATGGGTAGCGCGAGTAGTCTTATAAAAGCATATATTTAATGTAAATGCTGATAGCCTTGAGAGGCTATTTCTTTCGCTTGGCGTGTAGGTAAGCTCACGGGGCTCTAACCGGGAGTGTCGCTAATACTGGCCCTAGCAAGAGCAGTGCTTCGCAGAATCTACCATCGGATCTTGCAATAAAGTTTAAGAGCTAAACTCTGTCTTCGCTAGTAATAATCCCAATACGGTTTTATCATTACAATATCGTCAATTCGCACCGAAATCAAAATATACGAAACACACAAACAAACATTGACCAGCAAAACAGACTTTCGTATTTTATATGTGTGGATCGTAACAAATCTTATTAACAGGAAATGTTATGCGAAAGCTATTTGTACAAGAACGAGAACAAATTGCGTGAAATTTAATCAATTGAAACTCGATTATGTGTTCACATAAAATATTACGTATTACGTATTTTGCTATTAAAGTTTTGCTTAAATTACGAAATAAATAATCATCATAAATATGGCTTTATGTACAGCTTATCTGGAATTATTTTAACCGACGACATGCTCTATTATTATCGTTTAAATTCTAAAGCTTTTAAGGTCAACTTAATCACGGCTCAAGTTTCTATTTATTGCAATAAATGTGGGCCCAAGGTTGGTCCAAATGGTTATATTACGTCAACAATTTAGGAAACTACTAAAATTATCTGGCATCAAATAATCATACTTTAATGTTGGCATAGACTGTAATGAATCCAGCAAACAAAAGTACATGTCATATTATTATTTTATAACTGCACACATACTGCGAACTGAACTAGATCTATGTTGTGGAACCGTTACAGACTTAGATCAAAGTAATTAAGTGGATAGTCGGTACGTGTAGACCTCCGTGTACAACAACAATGCACAAACACAACAATAGACATCCTATCGCCTTCTAAAATTCAATGCCTGAGATGGGATTTAGTTACAGAATAACCAGTATCATTTCTCACGTAATAAACCTAAAACAATCTCTATTTTCTGACGAGTCTAACTGTATTCCAATCTGAATCTGTCTGACGACGTTCCTTTGGGTCTTCGGTGCGCAACTAACTGTAAAACTATAATAAATCAAAGATTACGACTGCCCAAGTGACAGCTGCCGAAAATCGACGGCGATTACGATCAATGAAGTAGGAAACCTATGGAAATGAAACGTCAACCAAAATTTCGTGCCAGTGTGACGTCATCTGGCCACAAAACATGGCGGCTTTAGTGCTGTACAAAAGATTTCAATGTTATCAGGTTTTATCGATAAACGTTCTTGGCTCATTTTATTTTAAATATTGTTGAGTATTATTTATTTGTAGAATTTATACTTTAATGGGAAGTAAGTAGGTATATTGTTATGTGCAAATATGATATGATTTAGATGGGTGAAATCTAAGACAAGTTCGTCCTTCGAATTTGCCAAGTAAACGATATGATGATTTTTAAAAGTTGCTACACTGATTTTATAAAGTTGTCGTTTGTCGCAAAACATAAAGATATGGCGTAGTTCAAAGCCATCAGCCCATTTCTAGCATGCTAAATGTTATCGTATTTTGAGTACGTGTTTTTCTTAGACTATTACAATCTATTTTAATTGTTTTGCTGACTCTAAAGTCCGTAACATACTACCGCAGCGCACCCCAAGGAAGGTGCGCCGCACCATTTGAATCACTTTCGCTTGAGAGTGATTCAAATTTTAAACTTATCAAGGGACCGCGTGAAAAAAAAAACACCTACAGAACATTTATTCATTAATTACAAACGTCATTCCTTGTGACTTCCTCTCTAAAATCACTTAATTATTAAATATTTAACAAATTTACAATAGTGTTTTACTCACTGCGGAATAAAACTATTTTATTTAAATAGTTCCGAAGAGATTTTGTCGGTAGCCTTTTTCCCGAAATATCTAAACAGAATGTCTAAATATGTTTTGATGACATATTTTAAAGTGGTATTTATGATTAGTGTCATGATCAATAGATTCCGACCGAAAAATGGATTTTTCGGATGAGGGCTCCATAATGAATTTAAATACATATAGATAATAGTTTTAGGGCATCGACTTTCTTGAGATCCTATAAAATACGTTTTAATTATTATTTTTGTATGTTTTAAGCATGATAAATTATGAAATTTTATATAATCAATCATATTAAATCGATATCAAAGTCAATAAATAATGTACAACCCAAAACAGACGGCCGAACTGACGTGACAATGACATTTGGCGCGCTAAACATGGCGGATTTTCGGCCTCATTAGACGGAGACGGAGATATTTACGTATATTCATGTTTCATTTTATGTACGCACTGAAATACTGTTATATTGTTTTCCTGCGAGTTAAAGTGCTGAGTAAGAACGAGATAGATATATGTTTATGTATGTGCCTTCAAAATGGGTGCTATTTATATAAGCAATTGTACGTATAGAACAATATGTCGTGTCCCTATTATATAGGTCTATGATTACGATATGACGAAACTGTCAAACTTAACCGAAGCGACCGTGTTTCGTAACATTTGCCGCGCTGTACGAACGCAGAATTTTCAAGGTAGATTTTACGGAGAGCTTTGTGTGTCGAAAGGTCCTTGCTCCATGAGGTAATCAGATAAAGCGAGTGGCGCAGCTGCTCCGGGGCTTCGCTTCGGTTCATCTCTCGTTGTGCCGGCGTCCGCGTGCCAGCATTGCCAGCCCGGTCGAGTGTTAGTCTGTAACTCGGCGCGCACGCGATCGTACGTAATAGGGCACCACACGTGCTCAACTCGCCCTTCGCAGATCTCGCTATACGATCGAATTTATCTTCCGAATTTTAATACTTCGATTAAAGGTTCACTGTAC